AAGCAAAAATGTTAATTTCTGGCCTCTGGGGCACAACCTTGGCCTTCTTCCTAAGCCCCTTTGATTAGTCTCTCCAGTCTTCAACAGGCCACTTGCATCCACCTGTCCCTGTCTTTCCAAAGCTGACCTGTCCTCTGAAGTGCTCCTCTGTGCCCCTAGGTCTGCAGCCCCTGAGAAGAGGGTTCCCTGTGCAGTGCCTGCAGAAGGGTGGGGCCCAGGCTGCGCTCCTCACCTTCCCCAGCAGTGAGCTGCTGTCAGCACAAAGTCCTCACGCACAAGGAAACCCCCACATCTTTTTCTGCCAGGAATACTGATCTGAAGAAATGCCATGTAGGGACGAGAGTGAGGCTTGACCTCATGACCCCCGATGATTTTCCCTGCAAGAAAAATTCTACTGTGCCTGCTGTGCCCATGGAGCCAGAGGCTGGAGAGTGGAAGATTGGGAAGGACAGGGGCAGGCGGGGAGGCAGATAGTGATGTCTGTAGTCATCAGCCATAACCAAGGAGACATCCTGCAGGTTCCTTGGGCAACATTCCTGGCTTGCTATGTGACTTGACCCAGGAGACTGAGATACTCTCTCTGACAAAGAGAAGAGCAGTCCTGATCCCTTCATTCCTGTTGCAGCCATGCATGTGGGCAATGGGATTTGTGTCTGGAACAAGCAGTTTAGTGCCTGCGGAGCCTGGAAAATTCTTACCCTCAGGATCCCTGGTTCTCTCTCCCTTTTTGTTCCCAGACGCATGGAGTTCCTGCTGGTTTGTATTATTCAGAACATTGGGACTGAAAAATTACCTGAGAGAACTAGAGACTAATCCAGCCTCAGGGGACCAGGAAGCCACCAACTCTGGGATCTACTGGATCCCCAGCTCCTTTGCAAAATTTGGAGAAGGGAGAAGAGATTGGGAATAGATTTTAAGACATTGACTTAGAATGTTATGGGCCTTGCTTTGATTACGCAAGCCTGTCCCCTTTGCCAAGCTGTGATTTCCTGTGGAATTATTTCTCATTTTGAGCATCCAACCTTCTTCCAGATGCCTTTGCAAAAGAGCCCAGATGGCAAGGGACGGGGAGAGCACCCATGGGCCCTCCTCAGGAGCAGCCCTGTGCCCTGCCATCCCTGCTGCTGTCACTCAGCATTAGTCTTGCTGGTCTTTGAGGGAGGTAGGATCTAGAGATGAAAAAGCACCTGAGGCCGAGACCGGTTTGGCTCAGTGGATAGAGCGTCGGCCTGTGGACTGAAA